TGCATGCCAGTCTTTTGATATCACATGTCAAACACGTGTCATTGGGACTTCACAATCAGAGGTACTCCATGCACTCCCCAAAAATAAACTTCCTGTATTCTTTATCACTTGTCTGTTGAGTGATCATTATGGGCATGCAAGGTCATTAATAGTTCAGTGAATATACTGATCATGGTATGCCACCTTCTTCTAGGCAGCATGTTGGTGATTAGAAAGAAATAAGACAAGTTTGTTTCTTGTACCATTTTTCATAACCAAGATCAGAACTGGCAAAAAAACAAGTATTTAGAACACATTCATGATCCCTCAGAAAATATCATTCTGCTGCCGTAACATAACAAATGAGACAGCATTCCAGCTCCATTCAACAGGATCATTTATGCATATAGTTTTGGCATGTCAATAGTGCTAACATTAGGAAAAAAAGTAGACTGGAAGGAGTCAGGGGATGCAGAGATTTATAAAGAATATTTCCTGTCAACTAGAGAAGAAAGCTGGACAGATTAGGGGGGGAGGAAGCACGGTGAATTTTCTAAGATACATCGAGAAGTCAGAAAGCTGCCAAGACTCCTTGTGAGTAGCAAGCATTGGGAATCCATCAGTTTTACATACAACGTATTTATCTTTACAATGTATAATTTTCTAGCACACCCTATTCTATGTATAGCCAAGTGATGGCTAAATTCACCCGCACGACCGGAGACATTTTAACAAAGTTAGCATTGGGTCTGTTTCCCCCTAGTGCCCAGATACAAGGGAATTGTGGGACATGTAGTCCGAGGAGTGGGATCTCTGCATGGAGCTGATGCTGGTGAAAACTACAAGGTCCAGCCGGCTGGAAAGAAATGGAGAATGCTGGGAGAGGATATTTTGGGTGGGACCCTGGAGAAGCTTGCTCTCTTGGGACCATTAGGCTGAAAGCAGGGGCTCGGCTGCTCTGAAGAGCAGGCCTCGCAGTTGCTACAGCGCAGAGAACTGCCAGCAGGAAAACTACATACCTGCAGGTAGATCTTATGTCTAGCCCCTTGCTGATCGAGTGACTGTCCGGGGTCACTCTCCATCACCGTGACAGGCCAAGTTCAAGTTCGATGAAGTCAGGTGCATGGATCAGGCCTTTCCCTCAAGGGCCCGGATCCTTCAAGAGTCTGTTCCAGGATGTCTTCATCCCTTGAGCCTCAGTATCTTCAGGATTGGTGAGTGGTGGAGGCCCACACTGAGTACGCCCTTTCCAGGACACTGTATGCAGAAACTTTTATCTCTCTAAGATCACAAGACCTCTTACAGGAAACACTATCTTATGTTTTCCATCATTGCTTGTCACCATTACACAGCAATCCCCTTTAGGCCCCAACTGACCTAGCTGAAGATTCTGGGACACATCCATTGCCAAGGCTCTCTTTCCCTTTTCTTTTTTATGCTTTTGCCATCACTTAAAGTACTCTGTGCTACATTTTTGCATGTGTTAGATGGATTGGACACTCAGCAATAGCTCACCACAATATTCTTACATTGAATAATTATAACTTGGGTTGATATTTATCAGGCCTGTGGCATCAGGTTTTTAGGGGGAACAATTGATACTGGGAAGTCTTCCTTTCTTCTTTCATGCCTGGGGTCAGAGGTTCTTTAAAAGGTCTAATTGTATTTGCTGTTTGATTCACCTTTACCGTACATCTGTGATTTGAGTCCCCCCAGAGACTAAATGGCTCATACCAAGAGATAACCATCCTAATAATCTTTGTCTTTGTCTGTTCACTTGAAAGCTCCTAGTAAATATCCAATTGCTTTACTACAATTTGGTATCATTGCAAGTGTGATCCTGTGTGTACCATGTCTGAACCCAGGGTGTCAGAGGTGTCTCGGAGGGCTTGCAAGGTCAGGGCAACCTTTGGGGACCATCATCTTTCAGCGGCCCCTACGGGGGTAGCATTGCATCTGTTTGGTCATGTTGATCTGTGCATTTTACTTTAAAATTTCAGGTCTGCTTCAAGATTGTTTTCACATTTATAATGTTGAAACATGTATTAAAAAAACTATATTTTAGTTTTAAGGTTTTAAATGTGGTATCTCTCATAAATGGTATCTCTAAGAAATGTGGTATCTCTCATTACATATGTAAGCCTGTAGCAGACTGTTACCTTCCAGTCACACTTATATTTACTACTGAGGCTTGAAGCAGTTGGGCAGGTTGTTCCAAACAGCAGGATCTTGTCTTATTAATCTCCGAAATGTGTAAGGAAAAAGTATAACATTTGATTATGTTTCTTATCCCTTCTAGTGCTGGGTTGTATGTGGTTACTAGAGGTACACGGTTGTTTGTTTTTTTCTTTTTGTACTGAAGCAGATTTTCTCTTCGGGTTCTCAAGGCTGTGTTTATGCTGGTGTTGATAGTTTTGTCCTTGTAACCTTTCTTATGGAAGGAGTCTGCTAGTGTCCCAAGACGTTTATCTCTGTCTCTTGGGTCAGAACATATTCGGTGGTATCTAATGGCCTGACTGTGTATGATGGCACATTTCGTGTGTTGGGGGTGGAAGCTAGAACTGTGGAAGTAGTTGCATCTGTCAGTGGGTTACCTGTATATTGAGGTGTGAAGCGTATCATCCCTGATGTATACTGTGGTGTCTAGGAAGTTGACCTGTGTTTGAGTATTCCATTTTTAGTTTGATTGATGGATGAAATGTGTTTATCAATGAGTAAAATTGTTTTAGGTGTTCTTCACCTTCTGTCCATATGATGAAAATATCATCAATATAGCGATAGTATCTGTATGGTTTTTGTTCCATGCTGTTCAGGAATTTTTCCTCCAGGTCAGCCATAAATAAATTGGCATATTGGGGTGCCATTTTACTTCCCATCGCAGTACCCATACATTGAAGATAGATGTCTTTACTGAAGGTAAAGTAGTTGTGTGTAAGTATGAATTCAGTGAGCTGTGTAACATCCTCAGCAGTGTATTTATGGTTTGGTGAGGATGATAAGGATCTGTGACATGAAGCTAATCCATCCTTGTGAGGGATATTACTATACAGGGATACTACATCCATAGTCACTAGAAGTGTATTAGATGGTAATTGCTGTATGTTGTTGATCTTGTTCAGAAAGTCAGTTGTGTCTTGCAGGAAACTAGCAGAATTCTTGACTAACGGTTTTAAACATTTTTTCTCAATCCCCACATATCTTCTAACATTCTGCTAAAACTTTGTAACAGTACTGCTTGGACCTTGAAGAAGGGGACACTCCCTGAAAGCTTGTCCTCAAAACTGTGTGTTAGTGCAAATAAAAAAAGTATCACGGACAATACTGAATTGTTACATAGGTTCTGCAACTTTGACACCCACGTTTGAGAAAAACAATTACTCATGTAGATTAAAAAACATTTCCCTTTTTTGCCAATATTGGATTTGTCACATTTTCATTGAATCGGATAAAAAGTCAACCTGTCTGTGGCCATGTAGAGGAATGTCTCCATACAAAAATCAAACAAACTGCCTTTTGTTGGTTTATATAAAATTCTACATAAAATATTATATAAAATGTAACATTTTTAAAATTTTACTATTTTACATTTTTTGGAAATGTAAATTAAAAAGAATGCTCACTGAATGGGCCAGGATGGACTGAAATTCAAAGGTATATTGTATGTGCTTTTGATTTGTTTGAGACAATTGGATCACAATACAGACACCCTTTGCTTCATAATATTGCACCTTTGTTAAACTGGCCCTGGTGCAGAAGACCAGCGCCAACAGCAGGACTAAGTACACCAGGCACTGTGCACACATGATGTGCTAACTACTCTATTTTCCTTGAAACCAGTTTCTAAGCATGACTGCAACTGTCCAGTATCCTGGAAAATCTCTGCAACTGATTAAGTATAAATTCTAGTCTCCTCCAGCTTTTTAATTGAAAATTTAAGTTTAGCGGTGTAACATAAACTCAGGACAGGCAATATTTGAAGTGGAGGGGGGTGGGACTGAAATGTGGAATTTACCTAAGGCTGCTTTTACACTGATACACTTTTGATGTATTCTTTAGTTAAAAAACAAAACAAAAGAAAGGCAGAAGAAAGCTGCATCCCTTTAAATCCTATGGCCTGTTCGCACTGGTCCGTTGTGCGTCAGTTGCGGTGAAAAAAATCCTGCTTGCTGCATTTTTAGTGCATGTTTGTTCAGTTAAAGACACCACATCCTTGCATTGAAATGAATAGAAAGCACAGATAAATGCATCAAAAATGCAACGCAACTATGGGAAGTGCTTTGTCCAATGGTGAAAAATGCAAAGCAAATTAATCAAAAATGCATCAATAACACAAAACAGCAAAAATACATATGTGTTTTTTTGCATCAGAGCAGTGTGAAAGTAGCCTAATAGCCTTGCTCAGCTTGTACACTTTATTATTTTTATGCATCCAAGGCTTTTTCTTTTTAGTTTTCATTTGAGAACGGATGGATTATTTATTTCAGGTACTTTTATAGCACTGTCAGTATGCAGTGCTTTACACATATATTGTACATTTACATCAGTCCCTAACCCTCAAGGGGCATACAATCTAAGGTTCCTAACCTACATTCATATACAAGGGCCAATTTAGAGAGGATCCAAGTAACCTACTGGCATGTCTTTGGAGTTTGGGAGGAAACTGGAGTAACCAGAGGAAACCCACGCTGGCACAGGGAAAACATGCAAACTCCAGGCAGGTGGTGCTGTGGGCAGGGGCAGACTGACAACTCATGGGGCCCCCGGGCAATAGGGGATCATGGGGCCCCTGTGTCCTTGCCCAAACTCAAAAAAGCCTATGAAAAAGGTACCAGGGGCATCTCATGGGGCCCCCTGCTGACCCTGGGCCCTCGGGCAGTGCCCGAATTTCCAAATGGTCAGACCGCCCCTGGCTGTGATTTGAACCAACGACCCTAGTACTGCCAAATGGAAGTGCTAACCATTTAGCCACTATGCTGCTCAATTATATCCCCTATCAGGTTTTGGTGACTACCGTCACCAAGATAGAAAGTAATGAGAACTCCAAAATGTTGCAGCTGACACCAGAACAGGAACTGAGGGAAAATTATCGTTCGGAATACATGTTCCAATCACAGCTGTCAAAGAGGGGAAATCCCCTCATTTTTTGAGATTTCTCACTTCCCTTTGTACGAAGTGAGAAAAAGGTCACAGAAAAAAACCCCAAAAAAAGAAAACAAACAAAAAAAGCTGACAGGGTTTTCAATACCGCACTACTGAAATTGTGAGGCTTTAGCCTTTTTTTTTGCTGTTTGTAATTTTAACCCCAAAATTTCTCGAGACCTCTCTGTAGACCAAACTGCAGCTGGACAACATTAAAAAAAATCTAGCGTAAAATAGGAAATGTTTGGATTATTTTATACTATAGCGCTGAGCTGAATCACATCATCAACTCTTTGCATACATTATTGTCTATTTTAAATGCTCCTCCTTTTTTTTTGCTGTTGTTGTTAATAATTGAGTGTACACTGTTATGCATCAGATGTTGCCCACGGCGTACTGCCAGTTAGCAGAAGGTGCAACATGTTAACAGATGGCTTTGTTACAAAGTATATTTATTACCTTCCACAAGGCCTTAGGAGCAGATTTCAAGAGCTAGATGAAGAGAGTAAAAGACACCACAGCAGCTAAAAGTGGAATTTAAATCCTCAGTTTCCGTGGACTGTCCAGGAAACCATCTGCTGACTTCTCTCTCTTAACAAGTTGTAAAATAAATAAATAAAACATTTCTGGGACTTGCCCCCTTGTGTGGGGTTACTTCAAAATCCATAGGCAGATGGCTAAGTGTCTGCTCAAACTTAACCTTTTCAGTTCTTACAGAAACTACAAGGAAAGATTTGTTTCCTACAGGAAAATTCTATTTTTAACTTCTGAATATGAGACCCCGAGATTTTTTAAAAGCCATCAGACTTCAATGCCCAAATGACTTGATTGCTTCTGGGCGCACGTAGTTTGCTACCCATTCATTCATTTTTAGTATGATGTGACAAGAGTTTCAAGAACTGGCAGCTCTCATTGTGAGTGATGAATTAACTGAAATGATTTTTGATTGTTGATGACTGAATTTTCAGCATGTTGGGAAATATGTGTGCCACTGTTTTTTCAGCTTTACAAGAATTCTTTGTTTACTTTTTATCAGATGTCATACTCTATTTTTTTTAACCAGCATTCATATATGTCAGATGTCTATAGAAAGTTGCACAGGACATCACATTTATTTTTAGGCCCCTTTCACACAGGCACTCCGTATGTCCGTTTTTCATCTGTCTGTTTACGAATGAAAAAGGAAACCCATGTATTTCTATGGACTAACGGATGTAAATGGATGATCATCTGTTTACATCTTTTAATGTCCGCATCCATTACCATCCGTTTTTTTGAACAGAAGAAAACCCTATTTTAAAACTGGAATAGACGAAAAACGGATGTACACATATGAAAAACAGACGTAAGCGGATTTAAACAGATGAAAAACGGATGTGAAGGATGAAAAAACGGATGTAAGTGGATGTAAACAGATGAAAAATGGGTATAAGCGGATGAAAAAACGGATGTAAGCGGATGTAAACGGATGAAAAACAGATGTAAGCGGACTAAAAATGTATGTAAGCGGATGTAAACGGATGAGAAAAAGGATGTAAATGGACGCAAAAAGGATAAACAGACAAAAATGGAAGTGAATGGACATACAGTCCATTTTTGCATGAGTAAAGGATGTAAAAAATGGATGTAAACTGATGAAAAAAAGGATGACATAAAACTGATCCATTTGTTCTTTGAAAAAATGTGACTGAGCTGATGAAAAAAATGGAATGCCTGTGTGTAAGCTGAGCATATCTGGATTTTGCAAACAGCATCTATTCACAGTATTCTAGGAAAATAGGCTGTGCACTCCAAGTGCACTTGAAAGTGGACTGAAAGTGTATTTGCTCTAGATCAGAGCGGAATATGCAAGGAAAATAAACATTTTTTTGCTGGCACGATTGGATGAAAGAAATCAGCAGAGCTTCGCCTCATTTCAGCGCTTCCCCTCGGATCAAAAGCAACTGCACTTGGAGTGCACAGCCTATGTGCCTTTTTTAAATGTATTATTAAACAGGATTTATTTAGCGCCAACAGTTTGCTCAGCGCTTTACAATATAAAGGGAGACAATACAGCAACAATACAGCTCAATACAAGATGGTTAGGAGGGCCCTTTTCTTTGGAGCCTACAATCAACCCCATAGAGGCTGCTGGTCCTGTCACATGGAATGTGTACTACTTCTCAACATTACAGTATGACATGCTGAGCGGATCTGCTAGTTAAGAGTGATCAGCAAAGAGTCTTGAAATAGTCACATCAGTTGCAGTCAAGTAGAAAAATTCTCTCCCAGCCCCATAGTAATAGGTGGACGTGGGGTAGAGAATAGTGGATTTCCCTAAATCATCTCTCAGATAGGTAAATATAATAATGAGAACAGATTCATTTGAATGAAATTTAGTTGCTAGAAGCAGTTTATAAACCCATTAAATTAGCTGTATTTTTTGTGTGAACAAAATTTGTTTTTACTACTTCTTTATACTAGCATTTGAAAATAACAAATTCAAATTTTTAGGGGTTGGATGAAGGGTTTTTTTTTTTGCAAAAAAAAACACTTTTATATTCAAAGCCCAAAGGAGCCTAGGCTGTATATAAGCCCAAAGGAGCCTAGGCTGTATATAAGCCCAAAGGAGCCTAGGCTGTATATACAGTAATAAAATATGGGCCTCTGACTTTTTATTTGCTGCAGCAAGATTAATACCCTGTCTTGGCAGCTCAAAGGAGAGTCAGATCACAAAGCAGCAGCCCAGCTCTCCAGTGGTCTGGTGTATGGTTCCACATACACTGCTCCAAGCAGGGGCGGACTGACAACTCATGGGGCCCCCGGGCAATAAAGGATCATGGGGCCCCTGTGTCCTTGCCTAAACTCAAAAAAGCATATGAAAAAGGTACCAGGGGCATCTCATGGGGCCCCCTACTGACCCCGGGCCCTCGGGCAGTGCCCGAGTTTCCAAATGGTCAGTCCACCCCTGGCTCCAAGCTACGGTGCTGCTGTTGATGTTCAGGGAGGGTGTTGATTGCTGGACCACTGCTTTGGGTGTGATAGCTGCATTCTGACTCTCCTACATAATGGGGTTGAGCTGAGCAGACCTACACTACAGGGAGATAATGAGAAATGAAATCCTTTAACCATAGTAAGTGCTTCTTATTGTACATAGACTTTCCAGCTTGTTGGAAAATCTCAAGCTGCGGAGAGGTCTGCCTAACTAGGGCCAACCTTGCTATATTATTTTTGTGGTTGCTTTGTGGAAACGTCTCCAACCCAATAACATAACTTCTTCAGCTATTGTTATGTACATTATTTTTGTAAAAGCTATAAATATTTTTGTACATGAAAACACGTGACATTCTATACTGAGGGCCACTTCCTCAGCATAGTCTAGATGTTCATAGGTAATAACTCTCTCCATGTCATACACATGTTGCCTGTCTTCCTCGGGGCTTGTCCTTTCAAGTGATCTGATTGTTTTTGAATGCGGATACAATTCTTTAAAGGCTGTACGCTCCCAGCACAGTGACTGGGTTATCATATACAGCTCTCGGTCTCTAGTCATGATTGGTAGCCAGTGGGATGAGAACATGACAAAGCCCATATTATTGGCCACTGTAACCCTGCTGACCACAGTTGAAAGGTTATGCAGTACAGTATGCTTACAAAGCATTTGGTCTAGCGAATTTCACAGCTAACACATAGTAGCCACAGAGCTGTACCTCATCTCTAATAATAACGTGGAGGTTGTAGGCAGGTGCCTAAATGTTATTTGTATTCTTCACAATAGAGGTAAAGTTTGGTGACTCAGGGGTTACTAGTGTTCTGTGCTGTCCCCCTGTACATGTCACTTCCTGTTGAGAAGGGAAATATGCAGGAGGCCAGGCCTTAATCCTGTTAAGAGTGAAAAGGGTGACCATACATATTGTACAGGATGCCAGGATTGCCCATTACATGGGTTGTGGTTCCTTGAAGAGAGAGTTCAAAAAACGTTTTGAGTACTTAGGAGTCCTCACCCATGCAGCGGCGTGTGGGGCTACGGGGTAGCCCAGTCGGAGAGAATAGGACTGATTTACAGTTTTCTCAGGATTGGTAGGGCCTCATATAGGACCTGCAATTCAGAGATTCAGGGAGACTTTGGGTGGGAAAGAGGCACCAAACCCTGATTACAAGGACATTGGTCCAGAAAGCGTTAACCCACCTGCAAGGGAAGCTTGAAAAGCAATAGGAAGAAGTCAGCAGGTGTGTATGAGGTGGAGTGGAGTAGGCCACAGCTGTGAGATTGCGTGGTCTGTCTGGTGACTGAAACTTGGTCCGTGGCTTGTCTTGCACCCAAAAACAGAAAGGAACCCTAAATCCAAGTGTGTTATTGAGATACTGGTGGTGAGGCATTTTGTGTGCTCTTCATTATACTAGGAGTATGGACTGCCTTTATTTTGCTGAAGAAAACTATTTGTGTTTGCTTGTTTTAGAGAGATTAATAAAAGATGTGGAGATGTAGTAGTTTTGTCAAGAGTGTGACAACCCCATAGTTTGACCCTGATATGGGTTATCCATTTATTAGGAACAAGCAGTATGCACACCACAGTCACAGCACTTAGAAAAAGGAAGATGGCAAATAATAAATAATAATGTCCCGTTCATGGATCTTGCACCATGTTATACTTTATGAAAACAACTAAAGAACTGCAAGTACTTTACTTCAGTAAAAGAGGTTCTTGAGGAGTAACAATGTTTGTTCTGCTCCTTTGGAAGAGAGCGTGTATTTTAGAGTGAATACAGTTTGATGACCAACGTGTAAACCTTCAAGTTAACTTTATAGGTGGTGAAGATTGTAAAGAATAGGAACAAGACTATAGCTTGGTTGTCATCATTCGGATGCTTAATTACTTAACTACCTTAACACCCCACACAAAACTCAGAAAGTAGTACACCCCCTGTACACCCCCCTAGAGGCCTAGGTACTCACTTTATCATCACACTTCAGAGCTGAATACTTACTCCCCTTCTTTCTACCCGTCTCCTCCCTCCCAACTCCCCTCTCCTCTTCTCTTC